GGTAGATGATGTTTCTGGCCTTAGAAAGGTGGTTTAACCAGCTCCAAACTCCAGTTTAAACACAAACACAAACAAAACCCAGAGACGTGGACTTCTCAAGCAGATCTTCATAGTGTACTTAAAGCCTGAAACACATGCAAGTACGTGAACATAAACGCTTCTACCTACGCAAGGTCAAATGTTAATATTTTTACGTTCAGATTGCAATTCATATTTCAACATAACGCAGAGTTTGCATAAGGGTAGATGATGTTTCTGGCCTTAGAAAGCATGAAGAGAGATGTAACAAAAGGAAGCAGTCGCAAATATTTGATGCTGGATGTATCTTTGTGTATCACATCGTCTTATGAAAGTAAATAACTGCTGTTTACTTCCTGTATATGTGCAAACAAAATATTTAGGTATACTGAAATCTACGCTCACCTTCGTCACCATCCCACCCGAGAGCGTTTACACAAATCACCTCAGCTTGTGTTTATGATGCTTCACTTATTGACCTGAGACCGGTAACATTTAAAAATCATTCATTTGGCTAAAAGCGGAAGCCAAAGCTTTATTTGGATTTGATTTTATTACTTCTTTCAACCTCTTTAGAAAAGCCATAAAATTTAAAATGGATGGTTCACAAAAGAGCAGGATTTGACCTTTGTGTCATCCTTGAGAACGAATGAAAGACACTTTCTAGCTCTCTCTAAGTCCAAAAGCTCCTCATTCACTCAGAAAGCATTTTTGCAATTAAATAAAGTGACTTTAAGTCCTCTTTTTCCTGACCCGGCTGTAGGGCTGGGCGATGTGGCCAACAATATTATGGTCATATATATTTTTCCATGCAATAAAATACCAATATTTATCACAATATTTAATATTAAGCATTTATGGGGAAGGAAATACATGTTTGTTAGACCTTGAGAGTGAACAGAACGTGTTTGTTCTTAATTAAATTAAGTAGACGCCCTTAATTTAAGGCCTCATGAAATCGGGTTTATTTTTCCCCAAATTGTGTGTTTTACTGTACTTTTTTTGTTTTTAATTTCTGGATTCTGTGTTTTATGATTTCATACAAATGCATCGTCAAAAATGTTGTCTAATGAAATGAATTGATAGAAACGTCAACAATTCAAGCAAATGTAATCAAATGAAAATATAACAATTAATTTACAACAAAACATTGCATTTTATTTTTTTGTCAAATAAGATGCAGCACAACAGAACTGTATGTTTAATATTAAAACATGGATGAAAAAATATCTTGCTTGTATGATATTGCTTTAAAATATTATTATTGTTACTTTGAAAGTTACATTTTAGTAATAGATTTCTGTCATAGTTTCTTCAATTGAAACTGAACTTTTATTTTGGCGGGTTGTGGTGAAGATCTTTGAGTCTTAGTGTGTGTTTGATGGTAGTTTTTCTGTAAAGTGACTCACGGAGCAGCTCTGGAGGTGAAGCTCATGTCCTCATATATTGAGACTTGTGTTTGAGTTTGTGTGTAACAGATTAAACTCCACCATTCATTCACACAAAGACATGCATGACATGCAGACTTACTAGTGACTAAACATGTTTATTTCTGCTGTTAGATTCTTCCACATCCAGTAAAAATGTCCAGAGCTTATCATTGCCCACAGCCCTACCATGATTTCTAAATAGCCTCAAATGTCTGGCTTTGTTTTCCTATTGTTGTCATTCTTGCTGAAGGTAATGACTGAAAAGAGGTTCGACCAATAGTGCGCAGGCATTGAACATAATCAACCAATCGTAGCCTCCGAGAAGGCGGGGTTAACAGAGAACGGTTAAAGCGATGCAAATACACGTACATATACTGTATGAGGACTGTAGAGAGCCTGTCAATAAGAAAATAATAATAATAAGCCAAAACCCGAACATTTTAGGCAATTTGGAAAAATCCGGCCTGGACATGTCTGGGAAAAACAGCACGTATAGTCATCCTAGTTTAAAACACGAGACGCAGGGCAGTGGCATGGAAAAAACACAAGGTCTAGAGATGCATTTTTACTTAGTTTTACTTGAGAGCTATATTTTTAGCATGCTGTGTCATGCACGAGATGCTGCAAGAGATGCAGTAGTCAAAAACATCCAGCTAGTGCATGCTTACAAAGAAACAATGGAAAAGCAGTTAAGTGGAATGCAATATAAAAACACACACTGAACGGCCCCAATGTAACCGTCACAAAACATCACAAATGACTAAACTGAAACACTCTTCATGGACAGCAACCCTCACAGCTGATCACAGTAAAGACACAATACTCTAAAAAAACAGCAACTGGGTAAAACAGTTGATTTGAACTCAATGCAACCTTTTGTGGTGTTTTTAGTGATGAATGAAATAAATGCACTCAGTTCTTAATTGGCAGCATCTGTTCATCTCTCACAGTTGATTCCAGCTGAGCTTGGTGTTAGCATGTTGCTAAGCTAACAATATGATAGCTACTCAAAAAAATATTTGATGAAATACATCAACTGATACCTGCTGAAGAAACCAACTGAAACCAGCCTAAGCTGGATGGCTGGTTTTAGAGAGGTTTTGACCAGTTCTTTAGCTGGTTAGCCTGGGAGACCAGCTGACTAACCAGCTGCAAACCATCTTAAACCAGGCACCCAGTACAGGCTGTTTTGAGCTGTTTTTTTAATCAGCATTTTTCTCAACTCGTCTGAGCTTGTTGCAATGCATTCTGGGATCGCCGTGACCCTTAGGAAAATTAACCATGATTTTATTATAGTAAAAGTGTAGTAGCCATGATTAGCATTTGTATAAGCACAGTTTTACTGCAAATACCATGGTTAAACTATGGTTAGTGTAGCAAGACCTTGGTTAATTTGTGGTTACCATAGTAACCATGTTTTTTTGGTTTTATTTGTAGTAAAACCATGGTTAATTTTTGTAAGGGGAAGTGATGCTGCTTTAGAATATGAGTTATCTCAGAAAGCAATGTTATTTTGTGGAATACCTTTTTTTTTTTTGCGTAGTGAGCTCTCATATGTTGCTGACTAGGTAGGCAGCTCACTAGGGATTGAAACAGCTCTGTGTTATGTAGGCTGAGTGTTCTCGCTCTGATCTTGTTTCAGTTGGGCGTTTTATCACAAATAAACAGTCTTTGGTGTTGCTGAAGAATGGGGCTATGGGAAAGCAGAGATCTGGATTGTTGTAGCGATCTGTGGCAGGAGCCTTAAAGGAACACACCACTATTTTTGAAAATAGGTTCATTTTCCAACTCCCCTAGAGTTAAACAGTTGAGTTTTACCGTTTTCTAATCCATTCAGCCGATCTCCGGGTCTGGCGGTAGCACTTTTAGCTTAGCTTAGCATAGATCATTGAATCTGATTAGACCGTTAGCATCTCGCTCAAAAATGACCAAAGAGTTTCTATATTTTTCCTATTTAAAACTTGACTCTTCTGTAGTTACATCGTGTACTAAGACCGACGGAAAATGAAAAGTTGCGATCAAGGATCAAGTTACCTAGCTGGGACTATTTTCAGGCGCTGCGTAATATCATTGCGCCTGCTGCACCCATGGTACGGCAGCAAAGTTCCTTGATCGCAACTTTTCATTTTCCGTCGGTCTTAGTACACATCATTAGTTAAATCATTAGTTTGATGATTTAAATAGGAAAAATATAGAAACTCTATGGTCATTTTTGAGCGAGATGCTAACGGTCTAATCAGATTCAATGATCTATGCTAAGCTAAGCTAAAAGTGCTACCGCCAGACCCGGAGATCGGCTGAATGAATTCAAAAACGGTAAAACTCAACTGTTTAACTCTAGGGGAGTTGGAAAATGAGCCTATTTTCAAAAATAGTGGAGTGTTCCTTTAAGAAGTTCAAGCCCTCACTATCTGTGAAAACACTATCAGGACGCAGAGGAACAGAAGAAAACAGACAATTGAGGGTGTCAATATGAAGTATCTCAGCGAGAGGGGAAAACCCAAGCGGAGGAGAAGAGAGAGAGAGATAGAGAGAGAGAGAGAGAGAGAGAGAGACAGAGAGAGAGAGAGAGAGGAGGAGGAGTTGCTCTGCGCTGATAGACAGAAGCTCTGTTGTCTGTCTCTCTGCTATCAGACTCATGCTTACTTTAGCCAGACAGCGTGTTTAGATGAACACTGAGTGCAGTGTTACTCATCTCACACCAAAACATTTATTACAGGGAATGAGTTAAAAATGCTGGGTGAAAAGCAACTGTGCATAAATCGGTGCTAGAATTCTTAAATACTCACAGACTTGTTGCAACAACAAAAAATATCAAACTGCAACCACCATTCCGATCAAAAGCAAAAACAGCAATAAAAAGAGTTCAATGTAATAATGCAAGTATGAACTTAATATGTAAAACAAGCATATAGTTTCAAGATGAATCATTGTACTAGTTAAATTCAAATTGATAATGTGGCTGCATTTTGCCTATAATGTTGACCTTTGGCCTACTTAGTGAGAGAACTGTTTTTGTGACGTGCAAATTATCAATTAATCAATCATAATTCATAATAAAATCATAACTGATGGCTTTTTATGTCCTGGGTCTTTTTTTAAAAGACTTCTTCACCTCCAGGCCTTAAATCGAGACCTGATTAGTTTGCTCATTTATCACTGTAAATGTGAATAAAGGTGCATTCAGAGACTTCTTGTGACTGTATAAACTGGGCAGGTTTATCATATTAGGCTCTGCATGCATCGTGTTTTTTAACAAATATACTGAACGTTAAGCTTATGATGAAGCTTATGCTAAGATGATAATTTATTCTATTATTTACAGTCCAAAAAATTACAGGACCATGCGTCTACATACAGTACGGTCAGTAAAATAATAATAATTTTTTATATTACATAAAATATATTACCTTCTTGCTCTCTTTTTCTTTTTAATTAAATTACCAACTTTATATGTGTTTAATAAAACTTTTAAACCCAATTCAGCTGGTATGAGGTCTCGTGGTACACTTGTGTTGTATTAGTTTGGTGGCTGAGTAAAGCAAGCCGTACCTGCGGCGAGGCCCAGTGGCAGCAGCAGTCTGAAGAGGAGTCCACACACCAGCTCCGAGGCCATCATCATATCACAACAGATGCTGCAGTGAGAAATCTGCGGCCACAGCTCTTCTTGCTTTGGAATCTTTCGCAGCACATGATCTGCTGGTTCACTTCAGTCTAGTCTAGTCTAGTCCTCATGGTAATCAAAGGTTGAAGAACTTCAGAGTCCAGATAATCCACGCGCAGGTTCCTCAGTTCTCCTCAGACATGCTTTACTTCCCTCAGAGCAGCAGATTGCGCGTCAGGTTTCTCGTCTTACCTGTTGACAGGAGAGATCATGCTGCTCTTCAGAGTTTGCTGGGTTTCCTCCAAACCGTGTGGCATCGCGTGTGCCGCTGCTGAAGGAGTTTTGTATTGCCTCACTGGCATCTGGACGCACTTTTTCTCCTCCTCAATGAACAGAAGGACCACCCTGCAAATACTGACGAATGACTCCAGCAGTCAGCAGAGGAGGGCCGGGTTTGGAGGGAAGAGGTGGAGGCTCAGGTAGAAAGAAAGAAATAAAGAAAGAAAGAAAGAAAGAAAGAAAGAAAACTAAAAATGAAACTTGTGGAATGCAAATGAATGGTTGTGGGATCTCGTCTATATGAAGTACACTCATTTTTTTTCTTATTTTTTTTAATGTTAAATGTACATTTTATATATTTTATTTTACTATATTATTATTATACTCTATATTACATTTAACTAGCCTATATATATATATGACATTGGACCACAAAACCAGTCATAAGGGTCAGTTTTTTGCTGAATAAATAATCTTTCCATTGATGTATGGTTTGTTAGGATAGGACAATATTTGGCTGAGATACAACTATCTGAAAATCTGGAATCTGAGGGTGCAAAAAAATCTAAATATTGAGAAAATCATCTTTAAAGTTGTCCAAATGAAGTTCTTAGCAATGCATATTACTAATCAAAAATTAAGTTTTGATATATTTACGGTAGGACATTTACAACATATCTTCATGGAACATGATCTTTACTTAATATCCTAATGATTTTTGGCATAAAAGAAAAATCAATAATTTTGACCCATACAATGTATTGTTGGCTATTGCTACAAATATACCTGTGCTGCTTAAGACTGCTTTTGTGCTCCAGGGTCACATTATATTGTCAATAAAATATAGATCTAAAATGTAAAATATTTGTGTAGCGTTTGTAAAGTAATGTTTGTTTTGATGTAAGCATAAATAAACTGGATGCGAATAACAGTGTCTGCAGCGCCACCTGCAGGCCATCACAGGACTCCACATACAGGCTCCTCTACTGGATGCGAATGTGATTACTCTGATTTAAAGTCTCTCGGGTGAATTCAGCTAAAGTGGGCCGTTCAAGCTTGATTGTACTGTGCTCAATGGTTTACACTTTCAGAGCATAACAATGGTTCTGAATTAAAGGGACACTATTTCTCTAAATGGTAAAATAGTATTGGTTGATGCAATATGACACTGGAGGGTCTGGCCACATCTCAAAGGAGGGCTGTGTCATGCTGAAAGTTATAGAAAACTCTGACATAAGATTTTTTTTTTGTAACTTATAGGCCTAAGGTTGCTCTCTAAATGTAAACAAACATTATTGTGACAGGTCCTGTTTTATTCAATGCTGCCATCATCAGGGAATAAAATGCAAAGAATAACATTTTCGTGTAAGGTGTTGAAATATTGCTGGCCCACTTTGGCTGAATGTGTTAGATAAAGTGGACCAACATTTAACCTTCAATACTTATACCCAAATTAATTTAATAAACAAATTATTTTTATAGTTGACGTATAATTTAGAAAACAGAAATGAGTCTGCAGTCAGGAAATTCTAGTCAGAGATGGAAGGCAAGAGAGAATAAGTCGAGGCATGAAGTTCAATCTGTGGAGTGAAGAAAGGCTGAGAGGAGAAAAATATAGAGGTAGAATATAAAGCTTTAAAATATGGAAACAATTAAAAATTGTTTAAATGTTTAGAGAGCAGACAGATTTTTTTTTTTATGGTTACCATTTTAAATGTTTCTATTATTAATTTTTTAACCTAGTTTAGTTGCACGTGTTATAGTCACATGTTTTTTTTTTAAATCAATATTCTTAATTCTGAATATTCTGATATTCAGATTTCATCAAATTTAATGTCAACACAACATTCTTTCAGTTGTCTGGAACTTCACACATGAATTGAGATTTGGATTTACACATGATTTATTTTACTCATAAGCTGTAGGTTATATATTTTTGGGGTCTTATGCTGTTAAATATGTTAAAAGCGTTATTATGAATTATGGACTGGTATTTGAGTTAAAAACGTCTTAATGCTGGATTAGTTTCAGCTTTTGTCTTCTCCAGATGTTCACTGATGGACTGGAGTGCTGTGGATTACTTGTGGATTATTGTGATGTTTTTATCAGCTGTTTGGACTCTCATTCTGACGGCACCCATTCACTGCAGAGCATCCATTGCTGAGACACTGATGCAGTGCTACATTTCTACAAACCTGATGAAGACACAAACTCATCCTGATCTCAAGGATGGCAAATGTGAAATTTTTGGTTGAACTGTTCCTTTACTGTTAATAAGATTGCATGATTGTGTCAGAATTATAGTCATAATTGAGGACATTGAGTGGCAGTAATGATTGTTTCTTCATGGTTTAAGTATATATCAGAGTTGGCAGTTTTAACAATTCAGAAAGTTTTTCCAAAGTTGTGAGAGTTTTCTGGATCTAACCAGACACCTGGAGACTCTGGACAGATCGTATAGAGGCTGGGTTGAAGGAGGGAATAAAATTAAACTGGATTTGCCAAAATTCAGCAGTATATTTAATTTCCAAGAGCTCTTGCATATGAATTTAAACTAAAAATTGGTCGGCAGCTGGAACCGTGGCCACTTTTTAGAGAGATCCAGCATAATAATGAAACCTATTCAATGGAAACCAAATGCAGCAGTGCTGGAATAAAGCAGCAGATGAGAGAGTACTGAATAACGAGTCAGCCACTAATTAGAGTATTTGAATGTACACATAATTAACTGTCAAACTAGATAAATGAAGCTGAATTACTTCAAAATTCAACAGTTTGAATGCTTAGTAAACTCCTCTCAAATGAAGAAAGCTTGCAATTAAAATATGCACAATAATCTGTCAAAGACAGTCATTAGAAACTGAATATGGTTCATTTTGGCTGAATAATGACTGGACAGCGTTGATTTTAGTGCATGTTTTTAATAGTTAATACCAGAGGAATGTTGCCCTGATACACACAGAGATTAAAAAGTGGATTTCATTGAGATCAACACAGCAGGAAAAACTATCAAATCTGGCAGTGCAAAACTCAAACCTCCATGTATTTATACAAGTATTAGATCTGCAGATCATCGGTATTAAAAAAAAACAACCAAAACAATGTAAAATACAGGTTAAAACTGCAGTGCGTGTCAGGAAATCTTGTATAAAATCACAAGGATCTGTTTTGTTTGTTTAGGTGATGAAGTGATGAACTTTAGATGTCTTCATTGAGAAATGACATGATGTCAGCTGCTGCACAAGATCAAATTGTGTATAAACACGTAGAACCAGATCTCTTCACTGCATTTTTTATGAATCAATATTTTTTGGCATGTATTCCAGTAGAAAAAAAAATCTAAACATGCTTAAAACAAAATGAATATTTACTTTGTTTTCTCAAAGTGTAAAAAAAAAACTGAATTTGATTAAAAACTATATATATATTTCGTGTAAAAATTATTATTATACATACAGTACTTATTAAAGTTGCATCTATTTGATCAAAAATACAGTAAAAACAGTAATATTGTGAAATATTATTACAAATTAAAACAGCTGTTTTCTGTGTGAATATCTATTAGACTGTAATTTATTTCTGTGATGCGCAGCCAGATTTTCAAATATTGTCCTATCCTAACAAACCATACACCAATGGAAAGCTTATTTATTCAGCAAAATATTGACCCTTATGACTGGTTTTGTGGTCCAGGGTCACAATTTATCTTTGTGTTCATCCAGAAATGAATCACTCAAACATACGCCGTGACTTAAAACACAAATCAGACGATGTTAAACCGATAGAGATGTGAACGTAGCGTTAAAGGACACTGCAGCGGCAGGATTGTGGCGTGTTCTGAGGTAAAAGACTTAGGATGGGGTCAGAGGTCACGGCAGGTGGTCGCGGCTGTAGTTTACAGGCTGCAGCTGCTTGAGCAGATAGTCTGCGATCTCACGCGTGCCAGCGGCCACAACACGTCTGGACACGAGGTCGAGCGCGCCTCTTGCACAGACCAACAACAAGAGTTAACTACCGAAGCACCTGCTGACTCTCCAGCTCTGACTCTATACAAAACACCTGTAGGCTGTTTAACACTTTGAGTATATTTTTATATTGAGATGGCAGTTAATGATCTTAATGAGTTAATTAATACTGACTTTGTTTTGATTGGTACATTAAAAGCTTTTTCTTTATATACTGTCTGATGTTGCTAAAAATAAAATGCGGAAGAAAGTTACTAAACTCAAGTAATTTAATGAAATGCATCACACATTACTTTTTAAAGCATGCATTTTGTAATCTGTTGTGAAAACACTTTAAAAGTCAAAAAAGACAAAGACAAAACAGATGTATTTTTAAATTTTTTATTTTTTTTTTGGTTTGTATGTTTGTTGTTATATATATATATATACATATATGTGCGTGTGTGTGTATATATATATATATATATATATATATGTGT